TATTGATGAGCTGCAAGGTTCTCTGCAAGCTTATGAACAAGATATAAACATTAGTTCAAATCAAGCGGAGAATCTAGAACAAGCCTTGCAGAGTAAGATGACTATCAAAGAAGATAGTCGAAGAGGACGTGGAGGCTACAGAGGCAGAGGCTCATTTCGAGGTGGCTCAAACTTCCAGCAAGGTCGTAGGAGACAGTACCAAGGAGGCCATGAAAATCAAGATCGAAATAGAGATCGTGAACGATCATTCGATCGAGGACGAGGTCGTGGCACACGAGGACGAGGACAAGGAAGAAGTTACCATGAGGACAGATCTCAGCCACAGTGTTACAAATGTAAGAGATACGGTCATCTCAGCTACGAATGTTGGGAGAAATCAAATCAAGTGGCAGAAAGAAGCAACTTTGTAGAAAGGGAGCAGGCAGACACTTCAACAGTCCTGTTGACGTACCAGGAGAGCGAAAGCAAGAATAAAGATATCTGGTATCTAGATTCAGGTGCCAGTAACCACATGTGCGGCATCAAGGAGTTCTTTACCGAGCTGAACGAGATGGTACAAGGAGATGTCACTTTTGGAGATCAGTCAAAGATTCCAGTAAAAGGCAAGGGAAATATAATGATCCAGACAAAGACGGGCGAGAACAGGTACATCTCTGATGTCTACTATGTTCCAGCATTACGAAATAATATTTTGAGCCTAGGCCAGCTCCTTGAAAGAGGCTATGATATACATCTAAAAGACCTTGCCCTCACTATTAAAAATAAAAATGAAGTTATTGCAAAGGTGAACATGTCTAGAAATAGACTGTTTACCTTAAATATTCATGCTGACCCTGTCAAGTGCTTGAAGTCAATCATAAAAGACGAGACTTGGCTCTGGCATCTACGATTCGGGCATCTCGCTTTCAGTGGCCTGAATCTTCTATGGAAGGAGAAAATGGTAAAAGGATTGCCGCAAATCAACCATCCGAACCAGCTATGTGAAGGCTGTATGAAGGGCAAACAACATAGAAGAAGTTTCGAAGTTGGAAAGTCAAGAAGAGCAACAGAGTTGCTACAATTGGTCCACACAGATATTGCAGGACCATTTGAAGTCATCTCTCTTGGAGGAAACAGGTATTTTCTCACATTTATTGATGATTATAGCAGAAAAACTTGGGTTTATTTCCTGAAGGAGAAATCCGAAGCTCTGGAGAAATTCAAAGAATTCAAGGAGATGGTAGAAAAGCAAAGTGGGTACCACATCAAAGTGCTCCGATCAGATCGAGGTGGAGAATACACTTCGAAGGCATTCAACAATTTCAACAAGCAGTACGGGATAATTCATCAACTCACTGCCGCCTACACACCACAGCAGAATGGCATAGCAGAGCGGAAGAATCGTACCATTCTTGATATGGTCAGAAGCATGTTGAAGAGCAAGTACCTGCCAAAGACTTACTGGGCTGAAGCCGTGGACTGTGCAGTTTACCTCCTCAACAGATGTCCGACAAAGAGCGTCAAGTTCAAGACACCATTGGAGATGTGGAGCAACATCAAGCCAAGTGTCAACCACCTGAAGGTGTTTGGGTGTATTGCATATGCACACATCCCGGAGCAGAAAAGAAAGAAGTTGGACGATCGAGGAGAAAAGTGCATATTCGTTGGGTACGAGAGGAGGACAAAAGCATACAAGCTCTACAATCCAGTTACAAAGAAGATGATCATTTCAAGAGACGTGGAGTTCGATGAAGAAGATTATTGGAAATGGACCGATGAAGATAAAAATATTAAAGGTATGTTCTTTGAAGATAATGATGATGACTTGCAGGAGGTTGGAAGACCAGAACAAAGTCCACCTAATAGTCCAGCTCCATCAACCCCAACATCAACGCCGACATCATCCAGCTCAAGTGAAGGAAGCTCTTCAGGGGGAGCAACAAGGAGGATGAGAAGCCTAAGAGATCTGTACGACGATACAGAGCCTGTCGAGATGATGGATGACTACACACTATTCTGCTTGTTTGCAGAATGTGATCCGGTCAGCTATGAAGAAGCTGCTCAAGAAGATAAGTGGAGAAAAGCCATGGATGACGAGATCGAGGCAATCAAGAGAAATGACACATGGGAGCTCACTACCTTACCTGAAGGCCATAAACCAATCGGAGTAAAGTGGGTGTACAAGACAAAGACAAATCAAGATGGCGGAATCGAGAAGTACAAGGCCAGGCTTGTTGCAAAAGGCTATAGTCAGCGAGAAGGAGTTGACTATGAAGAAGTGTTCGCACCAGTCGCGAGGATCGACACCATCCGACTCATTATCGCATTGGCAGCACAGAACCGGTGGAAGATCTACCAGATGGACGTGAAGTCTGCATTCCTGAACGGCTACTTAGAAGAAGAAGTCTACATCAAGCAACCACCAGGGTACGAGGTGAAGAATCAAGAAGACAAAGTCTACAAGCTGAAGAAGGCATTGTATGGACTGAAGCAAGCGCCCAGAGCATGGAATGCCAGAATCGATGCATACTTCCAGAAGAACGGATTCCATCGGAGCCCGTATGAGCACTCTCTCTATACCAAGAAGAAGGATGAAGACATCATGATCGTATGTCTCTACGTGGACGACATGATCTTCACCGGCAACAATCCGAAAATGTTCGAGGAGTTCAAAAAGAATATGATCAAGGAGTTCGAGATGACTGACATTGGAGAAATGTCATACTTTCTTGGAGTAGAAGTGTCGCAATCAGAGAAAGGAATCTTCATCTCTCAGAAGAAGTATGCAAAGGATATCCTTCAGAAGTTCAACATGAGCAACTGCAATCCAGTCGCAACTCCTGCAGAAGTCGGAGTGAAGCTGAGGCGAGACACACCAGGAAGCTATATTGATCCAACTCTATACAAGAGTTTAGTCGGGAGCTTGCGCTACCTAACCATCACCAGGCCCGACATAGTGTTCGCGGTAGGACTGGTGAGCAGATATATGGAGGAGCCAAGACAGGAGCATTTCAAAGCAGCCAAGAGAATTCTCAGGTATGTCCGAGGAAGTATTGATCAAGGATTATTTTATACACAGTGTGCAGATTCAAGATTAGTCGGCTACACCGACAGCGATTATGGTGGAGATTTAGATGAAAGAAAGAGCACATCTGGCTACATGTTCAATATCGGATCAGCAACATTCTCATGGTCATCAAAGAAGCAGTCTGTCGTCGCTCTATCAAGTTGCGAAGCAGAATACATAGCAGCATCGACATGTGCGTGTCAAGCAATATGGCTCAGGAGTCTGATGAAGGAATTGCAACACCAACAAGAAGCACCGACAGAGATTCTCATCGACAACAAGTCAGCTATTGCACTTGCCAAAAATCCGGTAGCACATGGACGAAGCAAACACATAGAGACAAGATATCATTTCATCCGACATCAAGTTAAAAAGAAGACTGTGATGCTGTCATATTGCAAGTCTGAAGACCAAATCGCTGACATCTTCACCAAGCCACTAAAGACAGAGACATTTTTGAAGCTTAAGAAGAAGCTTGGACTTGTGAGAAATGAAAGTTGGTGATGAGGGGGAGTATTAGAATTCCTCACCAACTTAGATTATTCTAGAACAACTTTTTAGAACTTCTTTCTAGTAACATCCTACAAAATATCTACCATGAAGTTTCTAGGAAGATACAAGTGTATGGCTAGTATTTATTCTTCTAGAAACTTCTTAGTAATGTATGGCTAGGATTAACTCTTCTACACACTTCCTAGCCCTCTTAAACAACTATAAATAGGGGTCTTGTGCTCTCATTTGGGAAAGCAAGCATGCAAGCAAGCAAGAAGTAAGCTTGAAAGCTTGAGTGTGTAGTGTAGCCTTGTGTGAGTGTCCACCAAAATAAAGGAATTGTGTGAAAGTGAGGTGTTCTTGTAAGAACAAGTGTTGTATTCTCAAGTGTTCTATCAATAAAAGTTTCCTTTGTGTAGAGTGTTGTGTTCTTCAAATTCCATCAGCCCTGGCCCTAGCTCTATGGTCGTCGGGGATTTTTACCGTCAGCCTGTTGCTACGCCTATCCCGAGCTATAACCATAACCCTTGCTACAATCAGCCTATGCCTTCTCAATCATCTAATAATGTTCGGAACATAGCTTATGCTCCCTCTCAAGCTATCACTTTCTATGAGCCTTTTACTCGCGCAACGAGGGTTACTAATAACCCTAACCCTAACCCTAACCCTAACCCTAGCTCTATGAACGGGGCTTATATCCGTCGGCCTATTACTTGTCCTATGAACAGGGTTTATGATCGTCAGCCGATCACTTCCCAATCATCTACTAATGTTCGGAACCTAGCTTATGCTCCCTCTCAAGCTTATGGGCCTTTAACTCTCTCAACTAGGGTTAACACTAACCCTAACCCTAATCTTAGTTCTATGATCATGAGGACTTATGATCATGGATCATCATCTAATGGGGAGAAGAACAATAAGGAGGAGCTGGATCTTACCCTTCGTCTCGGACGGTAAGCGATGTATATAGAAGCAAGGAGCATTGTGCCGTAAAAAAACAAGGAGCAAGATGAGAAATAAAAAATAAGAGTAAAAAGTGAGCATGCGCTCAAATGATATCTTCCCAATCATTGATCGATGTTAGGGAGTTGATGATTGTTTTCATTTTTCCGGAGTTTTTTGTTGTTGTGGTGTGAAAGTTTGTAAGATGAGTGACATGTACGATTAAAAGATTTAAGGATATATGCCGGTTTATATTTATCACCCAAAATAATCAAGTTATATTTTAGATTTCAATTTCTTTCATCCCCCTGTTAAACTTACTTAATGTAAGGGATCGACGAACATGATAAAGGTGAGAATACATCTTCAATATTCATAGGAACTCGGTGAAGACCCCGGTTGTGCCCTTCTTATTCGTAAATGCCGGCCAGCTTGAATTTATAAACTTGGCATTCACAATTTCTCTGTCTCCAAAGAATTCCGACCTTATATATAGATTAAACTATGAAAATCACACTTGGAAATAAAAAGGAAGAAGATAATATTAATGAATATCCTAAGGAAACAGCTAATGTAGCCAATCCATAACAACAATTTCCACGTTAGATGATACAACTTAGCAAACGTTTGCTTGAAAAGTAGCTTCACAGGAGGAGTTGCCTATGGTAGTTTATGCGGCTCGACAGCAATCGTAGAGAAATTGTGAGTCAGGCTTGAAAAGTAGCTTCACACGAGGAGATGCCGATGATAGTTTATGCAGCTCCACAGCAACCGTAGAGAAATTGTGAATCAGGCTTGATGTTGTTATTGTCGTCGTCTGCAATGGCCACGCTGCTCCAAGTATGCACTTGATAAAGTCCACCTCCCAAACTAGGGAACCATATGAGTGATTGTACAAAGTAGCTGCAATATTTGCCATGCTCGACTCCACCAGAAGTTGTAGGGTTTCAAGATTTTGATACAAAGAATCCGGCAGCGTGTCATCCTTGAGACAACTCTGCATTGCAAATAAATCTTCATGCTATTCATGTCTGGCCCAAAAAATTATATGGATGCAAGCATGTCAGCAACTAATTAGCTTAGGTCATGCTGACTAGGGGTGCACCGAAATGGCATCAGCATCTATGTATTGATGCTTGTATTAATGCATGTACGTATGAGGAAGGAGGAGAAACATATACCCAGAGACTAGCGCAGTCTATCGTCAAGTGTCTGGCTTTATTAAGGCTAAGAAGAAGATCTCTTCCCCCAAGCGATCTAAGCTGCACATCAGCATGAGAAGGAAACATCTTGGAGCACTTTTATCGGCCCACAGGCTTATCTGACCACATAAAGTCTCAGGTTTGAAGAGTAGTGGTCCCTTTGCTAGTGTACAAAAGTCACTTACGTTGATCGTCACAAGTTTTTGACCCGAAACAACAAGGTCTCAGAGACACCTGCATCCATCCATGGAAAAGATCTCAAGATTGGAACAATCGACATCTACCTGGTGCAGACCACTGCATCTTTCCATCTTCCATATCTTGAATCGTGGACAACTGGACAAGACAAGGAGATGCCATCTCTGGCAGTGTTAACAAACTTGACCCTACAAAGAGTCAATTCCTCAAGCGGTGCAAGTGTGGAATTAGCCGAAGGCCGATGCAGATTCTGGTGATAAATATTGTGAAAGACAAACACTTCGACAATTGTAGGTGAAAGAGACTCAGCAGGAGCATCAATTGCTGCTCTTGCTCCATATAAAAAGTAAGGTCCCTAAAGTTGTGCTTCATTTGCAGCATATATCAACTCCTGATCCGAACCATGTCGGTGGCCCAATGAATCTAGATTGACATGCGGTTAAGGTTCCCAACATTAGAGAACATAAGGACTCGATCAGCAAAGTTGATCAACTGGAGACTGAAACGTACTTCGCAATCATCTTCATGAGGGAAGTGGAGTTCATCGAAGTGGAGATTGGGGGAAGACGACAACACATGTTGCTATGTTCGAGAATGTCGCAGTGTGCTTTGCATTCAGGATGTTGAAGATTTGATGGATTATATCATCAAGGATAGAACTTAGTATGTCTTTTCTTTGCGTGGTTGTCTTACCTGTGCCTCCTTTCAAAAAACTAACAAACAAATAAATAAATCCACTGTAGCTGCTGACTCTCTAACTGGTCTTACTCCAACTTATTTTCTTACTAGCTTAATGAAAAGCGGATTCTCGAAGCCTAGAGGTCTAAAGAGAGGGAGTGCCACCTTGAGCATTTAAGATGTTACAGATTATGAGGAGTTTGACTCATAAATTTCCAATAATGTTTGTCTGATCTCCTCAAGAGGAAAATGTAGTGCTCACATACCTCTCGAGCTATGACCTACACAAGAGAGGAATCAACTACCTTAGTCTTACATAAAGAAACAAGGACTAGAAAGCCACTCAGAAATTTCAACTAAATGTCTCTCTATACAGTTGAGTTTTCAAATCATTCATTTTCTTTTTTTTTTTTGGGGTGGGGTTGAAAAGATACTAGCTTAAGTTTATATTTCTCTTGCATAAATTACTGTTCTTATTCCTTGGGTCAGCTTATAGCAACTAGCTTATAGCACTACCAAAGGAGCAACTAGCTTATAGCACTACCAAAGGGGATAGCAGCATGTAATATGAGGAAAATCCTAACATGGCAATTATAAAAACTCCAAAAAAAATAAAAGGAGAAAGTGAAAAATTCTCAACCTATTCTGGATAGGAGCATCTAATATGAGGAAAATCCTAACATGACAATCATAAAAACTCCAAAAAATAAAAGAAGAAATTAAAAATTCTCAACCGATAGAAATAGAATTTACTTCAGAAAAAGAAACTATGAAAAGAGAATAATACTCTGAAGGCAAGGCACCATGCTTCCTGTATCCAAGTCCAGAGTTATTTCTATCCATGTTAGTCAGAAGATCATAACATATTTTATTTAATCTGGTTAGTTTACTTAATTCTATTATACAACTGAATATATTATCATCTTGCAGAAGTTATGGACATTTTTTCCCCCAAAAAAGTGAAACTATTATACTTTGCTGAACATTTTACCCTCTGTGACCACTTTAGATTTCACATTGTTTACAAAGCAACATTATACTTTTACATTTAGTTTCCACGTTCCACATCCATCAGAGACAATATTTTGCAATTTACATTCACGCCAAATTATATATCATCACCAATTTTTTGCAATTTACCAAACTTTGGTTCTACTTTACACGTGCTTGTAATCAATTTATCTTTCACTTTGTTTTTAATGAACTTTCGTTCTGCTTGTACATTATTTAGATTTCACCAAACTTTAATTCTACTTTCACACTTGTTTGTAACCAATTCATCTTTTTCTTTGTTTGTTAATTAACTCTCATCTACTTGTACATTTATAATTTACCAAAATTTAATTGATCTGCTTTTACGCATGTTTGAAATCAATTTATCTTTCGCTTAGCTTTCTCAATGAACTTTCATTCCACATGAACATTACAATTCCTCGTTTCCTCCCCTAAAACTAATTATTTTCCGCTTACATAGTACAGTTAATCCTTAAACGCGCATGTCTGAAGAATAGTCATAAAGGCTGGCTTGTTTTTCTTAAAAAAAAGCATATGTCATGCAAAACTAGGTTGAGATACAAATATCTAGAATACTCTCTCTCTCTCTCTCTCTCTCTCTCTCTCTCTCTCTCTCTCTCTCTCTTGTTGGCCTCTTTGTTTTGATGATGTTTAACAAACAATTTACTACTAATGTTGTTTATCTAGTGTTTGCGGTTTTCTATTTATTATAGACAAACAACGCGTTGAAGGATTGATAGAATTACGCATTCACGATCATATCCAATGGAGGTTGGTGGAATTGTGGAGTGAAACCTATGTAATTTAAATTGAAGATCCAAGTTCTAGCTTCATCCGCAAGAGTACCAAGTTGATCTACATCGAAGATCAATCAAGCTTGTGTATATTTAGTTTAGGTTTTATATTATGTGTGTTAGTACTTTAAGCTCAATCATATATACACACACGTATTTGGTTTATATATATATATATACAAGTTTTGGTTTATGGACTTAACAATCATTGTATACATATTTTATTAAGTCTATAAAATCATTTCATAGGATTTCAAAACATTGTTTATGTCAAAACATTAAATTTCATGTATATCACATTTTTATGTTTTGGACACACTTGCAAAATACATGAGTTTTCACAAATGAAAAAGTCAATTTGAGAAATTCTTTTTCTAACATGTTCAATTTCATGTTTATAAATGTTTCTCAAAGTTTTATCAATTTTGGAATTAATTTGTTATGTTTATTTGAATTTACAAAATCAAGTTTTTAATAAGCTCATGTTCGTGCACATGTTCGTGCATGTTTTTGCAAAACTGATGTGTTTGCACAATTGGGAAATGCGATTTGAAAATTTTCTTTGTTTACATGTTTATACTCATATATATAAACATTTTCCCAAATTTTACTAATTTTGGAGTTGTTTTGTTATTTTTAATTGAATTTACAAAACCGAGTTTTCAGCAGTTTTTTTAGAAACTGTATATCTATGTTCAAACATTTATTTCTCTCAACTGGGAAGAGATATTTCAGAAATTCTTTTTCTAACATGTTCATCTACATGTCTATAACCTTTTCTCAAAATTTCATGATTTTTAGAGTTTATTTACTATTTTTAATTGATTTTACAAAGTCAGATACGCAAAATTTTAGCATCTGTCAAAATCTGGAAAAGTGCGATCGACCGCCACGGTCGACCGTGCTACAGTGTGATCGACCGCCATGGTCGACCGTCAGCAGTCCAGAGAGCAGTTTTGCAGTTTTGCTTCTTACGGTCGACCGCCGAAGTTACCGTTGCACAGTAACGGTAACTTACTGATTTTTGTCTTTTAGTGATTTTTTAGGGTTTTAGGGGTTGTTTTCTTCTACCGTATATATACCCCATTGTATTTATCATTTCCCACACAATGAGAGTGTTTTAAACAAGTTTTAGAATGTTTTAACAAGGGTTTAAGTTTTGTTTAAAGTTTGTTTATAAAACTTTTAAGCAATTGAGAGTTTAATTTTGTCAAATTAATTTCACAAGAGCTAGAAGAGATCATCACTTGGTGTTTGAGCTTAAATCCATCTCTCTCTCCCTTGTCATCTAGAGAAGTTTTCCTAAACTCAATTCTAGCTTTTATTTATAATTATTTGTTGATTATCATTTCCTAAACTCAATTCTAGCTTTTATTTATAATTATTTGTTGATTATCATTTCTATTAAGCTAGTATTTATATTTGAGTTTAGTTGATTATCATTTCTATTAAGCTAGTATTTATATTTGAGTTTAGTTAATTTTATTTCACTCATTGTTTACACCCCCCATTTGAGCTTATTGTATTTTTATACATAGTATATTTGGATTGGTGAGAGTTGTAATATTGAGTGTGAGCCTACATTGAGTTCTCATCTATTATAGAGAACAAATCATTTATTATATTATGAGATTGTAAAATTTTCGGTAAGCTAGAAAATCGAGTGAGAATGTGAGGTGTGAACATTGATCGATGAGCGTTGAAAACCGACATTGTGAGGTGTAAATGTTATTCGGGTAAGCGTAGAAAACCCGGTTGTGATAGTAGATTTCTCCCCGGGAGTGGGGAACGGAGACGTAGGACGGAAGGTCCGAACTCCGTGATCATATAGTGTGTTTGAGTTTGTCATTGGCGCATTTACTTTTGCATTTATCTTATATCGCCAATTGCTTATTACTCTTATATTTTGCCTATCACATTTGTAATTTGATTATATCACCCATGTGATAGTTTATATATCCTTGCATATATTTTTATCATATATGATATATCTTATTGTTCATATTGCTTATCCTAGCTCACATATCTTGTTGTATTTCATACTTGCTAGGATAACTTGTTAATTAGTTTTAATTGGCATAAAATTGGTTAGATTAACATAAGACCCTAATCACCCCCCTTAGGGTCTAATAATTGGTATCAGAGCTTGGTGCTCTTTGATTTAAGATCTAATCGCCTTGAGTTAAAGATCCAAGTTATCTCTCTTTGATTTAAGATCTAATCGCCTTGAGTTAAAGATCCAAGTTATCTTTTTGTGCTAATCTTGTTTAGATTTTATTTGTCTTGTTGAGTTAAAGATCCAAGTTATCTTTTTGTGCTAATCTTGTTTAGATTTTATTTGTCTTGCTTGCACATTTATATATTTATCATGGATATGAATTGTGCACCTTTGTTAGGCTACGAATCAAATGTTGCTCCTAAATTCATTAAATTTTTCTATGCACAATGAGCTTCTAGATTTAAACTATTTGTGCAATCTAAAAATATTGATTTATGGGGAATTATTGATAATGCTTATATTGTACCCACTATAGAGAAATCCAAGTGGAGTAAAAATAACAAAAGATTATTTATCATGAACAAGATTGTGTTAGAATATATATATGCTTAATGCACTTGATTCTTCTATTTCTAACAAGCTTGCTCATTTTGATAGTGCTTACAAATTATGGATATTCATAGAAGCACATCATGGTAACTTGGAGGAGATCTAAAGGATTCCGACGGATTCTTCCTCAAGTAATATTGGAGCTTCATCATGTACACGGCCACTAGGCGATAACCCTAGTGAGGTTTGCGAATTCGAATCCACAAATAATTTATCTAGTGATGAACTTGCTTGTGCTAGTGAAAAATTATTGCATGCCTATAACAAATTGCATAAAGATTTTATTGATTTACAAAGCAAGCATGAGGATTTGAAATTCGATCATGAGTTGTTAGCATCTAAGTTTGAAACTATTTCTAATAAAAATATGATCCTTAAAGAAAAAAAAAAAAAAATGGATCATGTCTCTTTAACTTCAAATGTTGCTAGTTTAACTCATGAAAAAGATAATGCCATGTTAGAAGTAGAGAACATAAAAAATAATACTGTTTCTTTTATAAATGATTATTTATGTTCTACTTCTAAAGTTAATTCTAATATGCCTAATGATGAGTTGAAGTTATTAAAAATCACATTTTATTTTTAGACTCAACTCTAACTACATGCATTAACAACCATAAGAAGCTTATGGATATGTATACTAAGTCTCATGCTACTACATCTAGACATCCCACACACCATGCACACATATATAGCAAAGTTTATAAATGTTCTATTTGTGACCGAATAGGCCATCTAGCTAAATTTTGCTATGATGCACATAAATATAAAAATGTCAATGCTCCTTGTGCATCTCATCAAGTTTCTTCATCACATGTACACACACATGCACTCAATAAAAATGTCAATGCTCCTTGTGCATCTC